TGGGATTCGTACTCACCACCTCTGTGGAGGTTTCCGAATGCTCGGAGGTGACGTGCTCCTGTAGGGACGTTTCTGTGAAGCCCATCTTGCCACAGTAAGGACACGTGAAGGACTGGGGCTGCTCTACCGAGAAGGTGTCTCCTCCATAATACAAGTCTGCAAACACAGACAAACAGTTCGATGCTTTCTGACCAGTGAGGCCACAGAGGGCCCGATTGCCCCCCCCCCGTCCACCCCTCCGGGCGGGGTCTTACCGTAGTCTACCCGGGTTAATATACACTGCATGGGGTGCTCTGTGGTGTGTCTGGTTGTGGTGGCTCCGCTCTCGTAGCACGACGCGCACAGGTCGTAGTCGTAGCAAATTAAACACTTGAAGCGCCTCCCCCGGAAGTTGCCTTTCAAACACGCATCGCAGCTCACGCCTGCAGAAGACGAGAAGAAAAAGGAGAGAGAGAGGGGTGATTAAGGAGCCACGAACGGGCAGGTGGAGCTCTGAAGAACCCCTGTATCTGAATAAAAAAATTAGAAAAAAACAGTAAGGTAATCCTCAAAAACAGGACCTGATAGCATTTAGTTTTTTAAATTGTTCGTTTGTTTTGTTTTTCTCCAGTGCAAACAGAGTAATTTAACTTTCTTTTATCTACATTAATATATCTACAAATAGTTATCTAAAAAGCTATGAAAGGACTGATTATTTTGTTTTGGTCTTTACTGTTTTCTTTGTTTTACTCGCGTGACATTTTGGGAGATATTGCCATTTTTCAGATAAAACTGTGTAAATAGGTAGTTACCGTTATGTTACTGTTGTTTTATTCCCTACCGTTCACCCCCCTCTCAAAAAGGAAAGGAGTTTTAAGCACGTTGTTTGTTTATTTTCTATCTGTTGAATAGAGAGTTCAATTTAGATCATTCTGATTTGGCGATATTTAATCATCCCTGTCACTCTTTTATTATCCAGAATTCCCAGAATCAGTGAAACTCATATCTGACTTAAAATGGAAAGCGATTGCCAGCTCTGAGGAACCCCGGCGTTCCCGTGAGCTCCACAAACAGCTCGGAGGTCCCACGCAGACCTCCCAGAGCCCAGCGGCCTTCCACACTCGGCCCGCACATTTTCAGGTGGCGTGCCTCTAATCATCCCACGGGCACGGGCCAAACTCCTCTCTGCAGGAGGAGAGGTTAAGCCGAGCTGCTGGTAAACGCCACCACGCGTCTGTCCCGCTCTTTAAACAGCGACTCGATTCTTCTGGGGACTCTGAGGCATTTTTATTTGAAAGGAAACACACCTAAACAGACATTAAGGACATTTCCTGTGATAAATCATGTAATAACAACCCTTGAAACATGAGACACGTTTAAGTACAAACATGTCTACTAACAAGATGTAAGTTTTACTACTTTTAGAAGTTGGAAGAAGCACATATTGGTGGTATTACTGTATATTTAGTCGTTTATAGAGGAAAAACGGCGGGACCACCTACCCATCCTCTCAAGAACTGGACTGTCAACAACATGTAACAGTTAAAAGGGTTGCCAGGAACTTTTGTTGTCGGTTGGAGGGGGAAAAACGAGTTGGTTCACTATGCAGCTCGCAGTCCAGAGGCTAACTACCTCCACTGGGCATATGCTTAGTTTTTCCTCCAACTTCCTAACTTCTGGAGAGACCCAACGAGACGAAACTCTCGGCAGGCTTTAAGGAAAGACTGCGGTTAAGCGTAACAAGTTAACCTTGATTAGCTGGTTACCTGGCAGCTGCAGCTAACTTAGTGACTGATTTATGGTCCGAGGCCTCAGACTTTCTGTCTTCTTGATGACAGTGCAGTCACTAACAGTGTGTGACTGCCCGGGACAGTGTCATGCTAATAATTTAACTGCTCCGACACTCTTAAACGAACTGCTCACGAGTAAAATATAACGGCTTTTAACGGTTTAAACTGTGTGCGACCAAATGCGGTAACCAGGGTCAGCACGAAGGCCACGGACTCATAACTACTCCAACAACTTCTTATGTTAGCACACGCTAGCTTCCTTGCTAGCGCCGGCTAACGTAAGGTAACGTAGCACCTAGCAACGGCTAACGGCTAAGCTCCGTACCGTTGCTACCGGGCTGAGTGAGGCTACGGCCGTTAGCTCTGAATTACAAAGCAAAACGCATTCACGTTTCCGTCGAGGCCGGCCAAGGAAACGGTTGCTTCACGAAAGAGCGCAAACAACCCCGTCCCGACTTCAGCAAGCACTTAGCGAGAGCTAGGAGAGGAGCTAGCTGCCCAGGTAGAAGTAGCCACCATCCCGGGCTCTGTTTGGACCCGTTTATCCACTCACCCTCATGTCGGGACATCCTACAAACGGCTGCTCAGCCTCTCGGCGGCACTCAGAGGGGGGCCGGGCAGTTTTTGGGGACTCCAAACGGGAGAAAATCCTTCACCCTCGTTTCTTTTTCGGGCAAGATGGATCCCTAGCAGCTTACAGTTTGTTCTGCTTCCCCTCCCGGAGTGACACTTATGTCCGAGGGTTTGCGAGTGGCCGCCAGGCGGCGCTGTCCGGCGGGGGACCGGACTGCTGTGGGCGTGGTGCGTTCAGGGACCCCTGACGCCGGACATGCAGACCCCCAGTCACCAAAATACCCAAACAAAAACAGAAAAAAAAATACATACCAAATAGTACTCGTTTAATTTATGTTCTCCTTTAAAATGTCGTCAAATAATAATAGCAATCTAGCCACTGCTTCAGTAAAATGGATCCAATCTTATCTAAGATGAGATGACTTAAAAATCACATTGAATATAGGTGCATATATAAAGTTTTGTGTTGGATTCTCTTCTTTACTAATTCATTTAGCATCTGCAACGTTAAAAGGAAACTTGGAGGAGTTTACCCTGAGAGGACAAGTAGAGCAGTTACATATTTTTATTTCTCATTAAAAATGTAGATGTGAATTATATAAAGCATTTTTACTCCTGCAAAAAGGCTTTAAAACCAGGATCTTACCCACAGTTAACTAAAGAGAAAAACGCCTCTGTTTAGATACTGTCTGATTTGATCTGATCAAATCAACCAAACACAAATATAGCAGCATACAGGTGTGCTGTATTTTTAATTAGAAAATAAGAAAAAGACAGTAATCCTCAACAACAGGACCTGTTAGCATTTAGCTTTTTAAAATGTATGTTGGTTTGTTTTTTTTCCTGTGCAAACAGAGTAATTTATCTTTCTTTTATCTACAGTAATATATCTACAAATACAGTAATATATTTACAAATAGCTAACTAAAAAGCTGTGAAAAGAATTATATTTTTTCTTTTCACAGCTTTTCTTTGTTTTACTCGCGTGACATTTTGAGAGACATTACCATTTTCAGATAAAAAATGTATAAAGAGGTAGTTACTGTTTTGTTACTGTGGTTTATTTTACTTCTGTTTAATAGAGAGTTTAATGTAGATCATTCTGATTTACCTATATTTAATCATCCCTGTCACTCTTTTATTGTTCAGAATTCCTAGAATCAGTGAAATTCATATCCGACTTAAAATAGTCAGGAAAATTAACCGTGCCATTAACTTAATGAAAAATCAAGATTTTTTTTCCATAAAAAGTCTTTATTTTTGTACACAAGATTTAACTCATTTCTGTGCTGATGAGGACACATACATGTCGGACAAACCAGTGCATTACAATGGAGGCTTCACAGCAGTGTAGAGGGCTGGCCTGGAGCTCACAACTTCCACTTTGTGCCTCTCCCTCCTCCTCGCGCGTAAACCCAATGTGGCGATACAATCCTACAACAGCCGACGCTTATAGCTTCTGTACATACAATTGATCACATGTGCTTCGTGTTTACAGTGGAGGCGAGAGCTGAGGAGGACCTAAACGCTCAGAAAACCGTCTCCTCCTTTCTGCTATTTCTCCTCAACCTTTTCCTGCCAGGGGAGGAAAAAGTCTGAGGAGAGGTAGGAAACTTTCTCCCCCAGCATCTCTTCAAACACACTGTGTATCTGTGCAACGACTGGAAACAAAAACAGGGCCGAGAACCTGGATGAATAAGGTACTGTGTATTGCTTATGGGGGTGACAGTGAGCCTACAGTGTGCAAATGTTTTGTAATAACTTTACCAGAGGCACAGGCAGACATTTACCTCCTCTATTTAGTCAAATAAAGAAAATATATCCCACCTTGATCAGCATCATAATCAAAATCCTTTTCAATCAATTCAAATCAAATAGTGGATACAAACCCTCATTTCTGTGTATATTTCAGTACATTATAGTTATACGGTCAGTTTTCATCAAAATATAACACTATTTACATATTTGCATTAACTCTGAATTCGTGACAAAAGGCTTTTTTTTTTGTGTCAAATGTGAATGTCATCAGTCATTATACGTCTAGCACCTGAGCAAAATCAACAGAAATAACATTTGATACAAAAAAAAAAAAGCAAAAAGAAAACTAAATTAAATTAAAGGCTAACTCAATTATTTACATTGTTAAAGCTTTACATCTGTGAGCACTTGTATTTACAGTACAATCGAAGTTTTGCTGCCTCCTTGTTCTCTCGGAAGATCGGAGGCGACTGGAAAAGGCAAGTGGAGCCTTCAGTTTTCCACATTTGGCCAAAAGCTTCGACTAAAACATGTGCCCTGGGATTGAATCAAAAAAACCTCTGCAACAACAACAAAAAAGGTATACAAATGCTCAAATATACAGTGTTTCATAAAAATCTATCAAGCAAACCGTTTGCATATAAGAGTCCAGCGTGTGTAAAATTCACATATTGTCTTTTTTTTTAAGGTGGTTTAGGCAACTTTGGATCCTCGTCGTGGAAAACCTGAGACCGTTTGTTCCTCTACAGCTGGAATGGAGGTAAAGGAGCTTTGAAAATGCTGTAAATCTGCTGCATGGGATGCAAAGAAATGACACTTTATCAACAGATTAAAAAAAAATTCTGCAGGGAAATAATAAGGACGCTCTTTGATTTGTACGTGGGGATTCAGAGTCTGGTCACCTGGAGATTAAAGCAGTACAAAAAGAGCTGGGAAAGTTTTGGAAAAGATTGTTTCACACATCAAGGCAGAAAAAACTGCGATGCTAACTGCGTTTTCCAGGTAGTGGGTCAAAGCACTGAGGTGTCTGAGGGTCTTATGGCGTCTCCTCCATCTGGGATCAGTTCTCAGTCCATCATGTCCTCTTTTTCTGAGTAGTTTGGGGATTTTCTCTTGAAGAAGCCCAACTGGAAAAGTAGAAAAATGATATATTATCATGCTTAGAATGATGGAGCCAGAACTTAGATAAGCTTCTCCCTTCTATAACAGAACAAGTTTCTCTTAAACTAGTAAATCATATATATATACATAAATATATGTATTATATATACACACACATTTATCTACGTATTTATGTTTAATTTCTTCATTAGAACTGAATCAGATGATTTCCTGCTGTCTTTAGCAGATTAGCATATAATATATATATTCTTACATATATTACCATTTATTTTTGTATTGTTAAATGTATTGTTTTTCTGTTTTTTTTCCCTTTCATTGCACCTTAGTGTCCATTTATTGTGTTAATTATGTGTATAATTATTCTGGCTGGACCAGACGCCCAGGATTCATAAAGTATTTCTGTTGCTGGTTAGCAAAAATGCTCCAAAATGTGTCCAAGTGTTCATTCCAAACCCATCAAACAAATGCATAAAAAACATTAAAATCAGTGGATTAATGGAAATATTTGCAAAATCTGAAGCTTTGAAGAGGAGAAAGAAAATAAATGGGTGGACAGAGACTGCAGACAGAGAGGGAAAAGAAAAGGAGGAAACATTTGACTGCAAAGAGGACAGAAAAATTAGCAATTGTGCTAATTCTTGTTATTTTTTCTCTCCAAAGGTTCCTGACTGGATGGTCTTAATGGGGCTTTCAGCTTTTTTAAGAAGCGTGCGCTTTAAATATTCATCACAGCTTCCTTTTGTCTCTGGAAGGCCATTTTCAGCCATCAGCTCCTCGAACATAAAACAGCCGGGCCTCTTTTTTGAAGGGGATAAAAGCTCGTTTCCACCGAGGTCTGAGGTTCTGGGTAGATTAGCCAAATGAAGCCGTCTGAAGTGTGTCGCTACTCCTACGCGCTCCCCGGAGTGCCGGGAGCTGCTAAGCTGGGTCACGCCGGGACGAGCCCTTCAGGTTCATTAACACAAACAGTTGGGCCGGGACCGTGTTTTTCTCATTGGTCCCCGAGAGCAAAAACCAGCGTGAGGCAATCGGACGGCATTCCTAATGGCTTTTACTGGCCCCTTAAATGAAAAAGGATGGGGTTTGTTTAAAGGAGACATATTATACCCTATTTCAACAAGTTAAACTAGTTCCCTGGTGTCCTAATATAATGTCTGTGACAAGCTTTGGTCAAAATCCCATAAGGATGAAGCCCAATAGCAGTTCAGTCCCCCTGCCAAAACAGCCCCGTTCAGAGCGCTCGCTTTGGAGTGCCTGTCTTTTTAAATGCAAATGAGACACAGGCAATCCGCCCACTTCTTCCGGGAGGTGTGCCCACGTCGGCACGCTAACGCTACCATGCTAACTCTACCATGCTAACGCTACCATGCTAACTCTACCATGCTAACGCTACCATGCTAACGCTAGCTGAACAGCTGAACGTGAACTCTGAGAGAAAGATGGCAGCTGGAGGAAACTTTTCGGTCCAACGTTATATGTTTGAACCAGAGTCAGACCCTTAACAACATGGAGCTAGCCAAGAAGTTGTTCAATGCTCTGACGATCAATTTTTTCATCCTCAAAATCCTTGGCAGAGAGCTGGATCTGAGCTGGATCGGAGCACAGATAGGGGAGTAAGCTGAGGTGGGGGGCAACATGCAGGTGAAAGGCTGGAATATTATAATGAGCTAGAGCTAATGACGTCAGAAACTACCCACTCCTGAAACCTCCTGATTTATCTCCTGGATTCAGACTGAGGCGGCCCACAAAAACATGACCGAGTCATTTTTTTTCCACACTTTGCCTGCTGATAGGCCCTCCACAGTACCAAATGTACATAATCAAATGATTAAACACTTCATTTGTGCATAATATGTCCCCTTTAAAGTCCAGAGGAGTTAAATCAATATGAGAAATGATGATTTGACTCTTGAAGGTTGTACTGACAGGTCCCAGACTTAGAGACAGGAGACCGGAAATATTACCCTCCAGAGGATGAAGATGACAAGCGCTAGGATCAACAGTCCTATCAGGATGCTGAGGATGATGATCCAGATGGGGATTCCTCCCACGGTCTGCTTGGACACCTGGATCCTCACCTGCGGAGCAAACGCGCATTCAAACACGTCAAAAATAGCAGAGGATGACGGAGGCCAGGCGGCAGAAGGGCGGGACTCACACTCCTGGGTCTCTCATTGCTCCCCAGCTCGAACAGGTGGGCGTTTTCTATATTTAACGTGGCGTTCACCATCATGGACAGACTGGAAAACTCCCCCTGTAGGATGAAACTCACTCAGCTTTCTATCAAACAGTCAAACGGCTCTCAGTCAATGTCCTCTCTGATGTGTAACTAGCAGAGATGTATAAAGTACTGGAGTAGAAGTACAAGTACTACTGTATATAAAAAAATTGACTTGAGTAAAAGTGTTCTTTCAACACCATACTCAAGTGGAAGTACAGAAGTACTCAATTTTCTTTAACTTAAATATTATTGCAAGTACAAGTATTTCAAAATTTCTACTCAAATTTTGAAAGTACAGATACAAATTTCGCAGAGATGTACAGTAACGAAGTAGAACTACTTAAGTACAGTACTTTAGTTTCATGGCCTGAATTGTTACTCGTTACTGATATGTAAAAAAAAGAATTGAGTACTTCCATACTTCCACTTAAGTATAGTGTTGAAAGAACACTTCAACTTTTACACAAGTTTTTTTTATATAGTACTGGTACTTTTACTCCACTCCTCTACTCCAGTACTTTATACATCTCTGGTAACGAGTAACGATTCAGTCCGTGAAAGTAAAAGTATTAAATCAATCAAAATTATGTAGTGGAGTAAAAGTAAAAGTAGGGCAAAAAATATATACTCCAATAAAGTACAGATACTGCATTTTGGTACTTAAGTACAGTACCTAAATAGTTCTACTTCTTTACTGAACATCTCTGGTTATTAGGCAACTGGACACCTTCCAGAAGGGTCCCTTGAACGCACCTTGATGAAGGTGGGTTTCCAGACCCTGAACGTGACGTTGACCTGGCTGGTGTTGGCTTCAGAGATGAGGCAGCGGAAGGAGGCGCAGTCGGTCGCTCCGCATTGCTGCGCAGAAAACATAAAAAAAAAAAAACGGTGAGAAAGGAGCTGCCGGGAGCCTCCAAACCCAAAACCTCCAAACCCAAAACCCCGAACCCAAAACCTCCAAACCCAAAACCTCCGACCCAAAACCTCCAACCCAAAACCTCCAAACCCAAAACCTCCAACCCAAAACCTCCAACCCAAAACCTCCAAACCCAAAACCACTCACCAGCACGTAGAAGCCCAGCGTCTCTTTCTTGGGTTTGGGGACCAGAACGCCGGGCCCGATTTTATCCGGGTTGATCAAATGTGCCGCCTCACATTTCACCTGCGGAGGAAGACGGAAAGGCTGAGTTTTTTCTGTGTGTTCCTCACATCAATATGGGAATCAGGATTTACTTTCCAGGCTAAAGACTCTGGACTATAGACGGAGAAACAACCCAGAGGAGTCTGAGCTGTAGCCATGATAAGAGCTGGGCTTCACTTCTAAATGCAAAGAAAAAGAAGCTCTGCTGCCTTCTTTGTTTCCTTTAGCAGAAGAAATGACTGAACATCCTTCATGTCCAAAAGTTCAGGCAATATCCTTCACTTTTTGACCATGTTAAATAGGTTTGTACAATAACTCCAAACAAATTTAACCCAAAAATATTTCTTTCTCACAATTATGAAGGGTGGAGGGTTAGGGTTAGTTTCAGGTTTAGGGTTAGGGCTAGGGTCCAGGTTAGGGTCAGGCTTAGGGTTTGGGCTAGGGTCCAGGTTAGGGTCAGGCTTAGGGTTTGGGCTAGGGTCCAGGTTAGGGTCAGGGTTAGGGTTAGGGTTGTTTGTGCTGCCTTGCATCCTGCAGATGGCTTGTGTTCCATTTTTTTTAACCATATTTTGGAGGATTTGATTGACGTCTTTATGTTTTTTGCCTGAATATCTCTAATCTTCCCCTTACTTAATAAATAAATAACCTTTTGTCAATACCAAGAACATCTGGTTTGTGTTACATCCCTTTTTCCCGTAACGTAAAGGTGTGTGGGCACCTTTGGGCTGGTGGTGACGTGGGTCAGGTAGAGCAGCCGGTTCTTCAGAGGAGACAGTTTAGGGTAGGCCACCGTCAGCCGGAGGGGGGGCGTGGCCATGTCACCTGACTTCTCCACCTGCAGAAGCGAGACACAGAAGGCCGAAGAGTGCGTTTGATTTCCCCGGGACATCAAACATCTGCACACAGCTGCTGAGCGCCCCTCCGTTTTACAGCAAATTCCCACTTCTGTTTTTTTTTGTTTTTTCCCCCCAGATTCTACCTTGTAGTTGATGTTGACCTCCTCTCCGATCATGCTGGTGTCGTTGAACGAGGGCGCGTGCTGTTCGCCCTCCGCCACCTCCACGTGCACTTCCGTGTAATCTCTAAATAGTGCACGTTTTTAAGAGGACAAACGTCAGTTTAAGCATGTTTTCACCCCTTCATTCAGAAAGAAACATTTGCATCCATTTGGAAATGTGTTTCCTGATTAAATATTGTAAATTACAACCATTTTCTGATAATCTTCAAATAAAAAACAGGAAACTAAAGCATATCTCTGTATGGAGAAATTGCAGATATATGTTTTGTGAACTCTTTTTCAGTGGAATCAGAGAATAAATCCCCACGTGACCTCTGACCTCGTCCTATTAGCATCAAGTCCTTTTACTGAATTATCTAAGCAAAAAGTGTCCAGATGTGATTCTATGACTATTTTTAGCTTTGAGTCTTGACCCGACGCTTGTGCCGGGTTGAGATTTAGGGCATTTTCTCAGAATTAAGAGTGCAGAATTGAACAGATGATGGCAGACGAGGCTTTTCATGTCTCATTCTGACATTTTCCCAGTTAATCTGAGGAAAAAAGAGACAAAAGGAAACCTTTTCCACCACTATTCCCACTGCAGGGTGAGCCAAACATCACAGGACACAAAAGGGAAAATGACATATCTGAATATCCCAACATGTAAATGAATAAATAACCTTAACCCTAACTTTAACCCCAACCCTAACCCTATTTTTTTAAGCCATGTCTGGAAAATGGCTGCCATCACAGGCCACATTTCCAGCTTTTCTCGCATGTTTCTGTGTTGACAACTGTTAAACCACAGGGGATGTTGCAAATCTGATTGCACCAATCAATTTCTGAGACATTTTTGGTCTTTTCTGACATGCTACATGGAAAAACAGACCCTCGATCCATGTAGAAACCTGTTGGATGTTCAGGCTTTTCACACATAACAACTGAGACGACGGTTCTGGTGGTTTTCCCCCCCGACACTCACACTGTAAATATGACCCCGGCTTCATATTTCACCGGGATGGAGATATGCACGCTGTTGTCTCCCAGTGTGGAGAGCTGCTCCTCGCTGTCACTATGACAACAGACAAACACAGGCTTCAGTCGACTGGACCGTGGATTAAAACTCCGTCCCTCCCTGGCACGGCCTGGATTCACCCACCTGGTGGCTTTCACCTGGATCTGAATCTCCTCCTGGATGTGTTTGGGGTTGGTCTCAAACCGCACTTTGAAATGCTCCTGTGGGAGGTTTCCAGAGGGGGGGGTGATGAGTCCGGTCAGCCGGGGGAGGAGAAAGAGAGTGCGTTTTTTTAACTCACCTCCACGTTGTTGCCCAGGAAGGGGTATCCCACCGCACACTCCAGCCTGGTGTGGTTCAGGGTGCACACCATTTCCGGCTGAAAAACCGAAATAAAACCGGTTCACTCGCACAGAAACGGTCACAAAACGGTCTCAAGGTGGACGAAAAAGGGTTTAAATGACCAAAAACGCTCTCAAAAGGAGTGGATGGCCTCAAACAAGGCAGACAAAACTATGAACAAAGAATCAAAGTGAGATTAACCCTTTAAAGCCTGATCCAAGAATAAAACAAAACAGAAAAATTACTTTTTTTGGGGTTTGAAGCCTTTATTTGGCCTTTTAACAAAATATGTAAAAAGAAAAAACAGAAATACATTTTT